AACCCCGCCACCCCACCCCCCAAAAAAAAAGTAAGAGTAAAGTTAAATATATTTACGAATTTGTCGAATGTTTGATTGCAGCTAATTAGAATTCATATTGATCAAAATGTAGAATAAAGATATCTACTTCACAAGTGTTTGACTCGATAACATAATATTGCCCATTGAAAATTTATTTAAAATCACTTGTAGAAAGTATATAACCTAAATGCACAACTATAAGCAGCCATTTTTGAAGTGTAGCTCCATAGTGCATACAGTTGAAATGAAATTGCTGTAAGTTGATTTTTTTTTCTTTGTTATTGATCAGACATAAATATATCAATTACTTAATTATTGTTGAACCATAATTTAGAATAAAACGGATCAAAGCGCATCCAAATATATTAAAACAGTTTTTAGCATATTAAAACAAACTAATTCAATTGTGAGAACATGTCCTATAAGAACCTCCTCAATAACACCAACAACAACAACTGTAGCGTCCTGTTTTATCGCAAAAGCGGGTTTCAACGTATGACAACTCTTTTAAATGAGTATTAAAAGAGGAGTCGCTATCTAACGATTTGAGTGTGCATTAGGGCACCTATTTGCAAATAACTCTGTTTAACTAGTCCACGTCACCAATGATTGGGGACTTAATTATATTTGAAGAGAAGGTGTTAGACACTCCTCGAGGTCCACAACTGTGATTCCCGGCCAAAATTCACGCTATGTGGAATTATTGGATTATAATTGTCCTACGTGATCATGTAAGTGAAGGAAGAGAGGGAATTTAAAGGTTCAACTACGATATAAACCAAGTGTAAAGAAGAATCGCACATGTGAAGGCATTAAACTATATATAAATGGTCAGTACAAGTCCTCAGAGATTACAAGATACAACCTAATTGTTCTAAGTTCAAAGATGCGAACAATAAACTGTCACGACCCAAATCTACGTGACCGGCACCCGGTACATTATCCGACCCGAGTGAACCAACTCATATGATGCACCCAAATCATATGCATGAAAACCAATTTAACTGCAGAAGCTCCTCGAAAACCATATACATTCTCAAGTTAAATGATAAAATATTTTCCAATTCAAAATCACACATGACGCCCTTTCATGATAATACCAATGAGAGTAAGTAAAATAAATATACTTTCATGAATGTCATGTACAACCCCATTACTACAACCTTTCACAACCATCTATGGAGCTTCTACACCAAAGAATAGAATCAACGATTGGAGTAATTCCAACAAAATAAAATAAGGAAGAACATGATAGCTACCACGAAATAAACGTGGTGCTTCATAATACCTCGGGAAGAGAGTCATCCTGGCCTGACCGTATTCCACGTATCATACATCATCCTGAAACATGTAAAGTAAGCATGGCCCTGGAGGGGGCCCCTTAGGGTTGAGTATACCACAGCGGTACTCAATAAATGTCATAGACTCTCTCTACTTAAGTTCTTGGGACAAACTTTATAAAAATAATGCACCAATATTTGATATAAAATAATAAGAAATTTTATCTATTCATGACCCTTGTTATTTTAAATAACAACCAAGTGAATATAACTCACAATATAAACTTTTAAATCATTTTCATCAATCCAAGATTTTTGATAAATCGTACAAAATCATTTCATATACTTTAAATCATCGAAATCGCTTTCGGCTCTTTAGGCCTAATCATAAGAAAACCATCATTACCTTTCAATGGGAGTACTATACCATCATTGACATAAGAAGGTCAACTAGGTTATGTACCTAGCGGCAAGTATCATATACTCTGCTTGCTCAGGTCGTCTCATCGTAGTGCCGTACGAATCGACTCAGCCATGCTAATAATAGCACAAAATAGTACCCTCTCGAGGGAGAGCACTCTGCTGTAGTCTATACCACAAAGTGACCATCTACGCCTACACCGGCACGTATAGTTTCATGACGACGAACACAATATATCCGAAGTCAATCTCGGTGAACACAAGTAACTCCCAAAACATTTGATACTTCAAAAATAGATTCATAGCATAGTAGCTTCAAAGGATCTATTTTTATCAAATCATAGCATTTATATAAAATCTAAATCATTTGAATAAAAATTAAATAAACAACCCTTTACATGCTAAAGCCTTTAGCAATTTAACATCAATCTTTAAAAGATACCACAAGAGCTATTCTGCACATTAATTTTCAAAAGAAAAACTTTCCGTGAAAATTTATCTTTAGTACTCAAATGCGTATACTCTTGTCAATACGTAAGTTTTGATAAAAACTTATAACATTTACCTTGAGTGTCATTTTTCCAACAAGATTTAAAATAAACTTTTACAAAACGACATGACACTACATATGCAACATAATATTTAGTACATGGAGACATCCGTACTTGTTTGTCCCCACAAACACGAAAGCACATTTTCAAACAACTTAAGTATTGACGTAAAACATGCTTTTTAGAAAAAAGTCCCTCAAGAAGAGTAAGTTTTAATCAACTTACCTCACTTTCGCTTTATTAACATTCACAAGCTTTCAATCCTCTTCCATCATTCCGATGTTGATTAAAAAGCTCAACATCACCAACAAGTCGATATCTACAATTAGATATCCTAATTACATCAAAATATGACCTAATATATTTATATATATCAATATCCATATATGGCTCATAAATTGGCTACAAGCCTCCAATAACTCAAATCGCCAAATACATTTACAAGCTAGACCATTCAACTTCATCCTTATATTTTAAATACCCATTCGAAGTCATTAATGATACTACATCAATTGTCCAACGCCACCAAGTTACTATTCATCATCTTCCATAATCAAAACTTGCACAATATACAATTCGGATGATTACTTAGTAGATCAATTCCATATTTTGCTAACAATAATTTGATAGGTTCATTGTATTCAATCAATTTCATCACAAAGATTCACCATTCATCTTCTCTATTATTTTCTCAAAAATACTATTCATTCCATGAACTAGAGTTTTATAATCCAATCTTTCCACCAATAAAACTTGTAATAAATACTTCAAATACTTCTACCTACTCATAATAAAAGAGTTTGAAGCATTGAAATTACCTTTAGTAGATAAATCTTGAAAAATCACAACTTTGGTGATTTTTGTGTTCTTGAGGATTTGATGATGAAATCTAGAATTTAGATGTTAGAATGATGTTAGAACTCATGTATATTGAGTAGGAATCAACCCAAAACATCATTAACAACTTACCTTAGATGATTGGACTTGATTTGAGCTAAAAATCGCCCCTTCACCTCAAGAACCCTAACCCCCAAATACTCAAAATACTCTCCTCCCCCAACCTTGTATTTATAGACCTAGATTTCTGGGTTTCGAACGCGGACTCGGATGCTTAGCATCCGTAGATCACTCCTCTTCGAAGCTCGGATGCTGACCTGGACGCTACGGCAACACTTCACTGCCAGCCCCTCTTTTTGGACACAGCCTCGGATGCTTCGCACACTCCTCCGCCAGCCTTTGGTAATTTGGTCATAACTTCTTGTAGGAAAGTCCAAATGATGAACGGTTTGAAGTTTTAGAAAATATACTCAACGACCTTTCATTTTATAGTGTACATCACATAACTCCTTATACATATGTAGATATACTCGTCCAAAGTTAGGTCTTGTGCGTACTCATTTGGAACTTTAGTCTAACATATAATTTCCATCTTAATTTGCCCCAAGGGATCTCCTTATGAATTATATCACTTCAAATACACATCGTACACTTATTATTGTATTCAATTAATATCCATCATATTAATCTTCCTCGTCTGCACACAAAATAGTACAATTAGCACACGTCAACTTTCTTAATAGCGCTTAAGTACTTCGAAATTTTTCGGGGTGCTACATTCTCCCCCACTTAAGAACATTCATCCTCGAATATTTTACAAGTCGCTTCACATAATAGAGTTATCATCCATTTACCTCCAACCATTATGCATATGCACTTATGACTACATGGGTTTTGTACTTTCTTTCCAAAATCTCAACTTACTCATGGCCCTCAAAAATTGGCTATCTTTACAAATTCTTAAAATTTTCGGCAGAGTTTCTCCTATAACAAGGACTATCCAAAAATATTAACCTGTCCAAAACAAGCCCCCACACGGGCACCAATAACAATATCGCTCAACAACCAACAATACACAATATAATGTACCATCTTGACCCCACTCGGCCGTACATATACCATAAGTCCATCAAATATAAATCTTTAAAACTTTTAACTAGTGACATATATGAATACCGTTAAATATCAATAATAACTACTACACATAGCTCCCATATCATTATTATACATGCATGCATTTTCTTTAGTCATGCATACGTCAACCTGTACCTGAAAAGTATCTTCAAATAAACCAAAAATCTCTCTGTGATTGGACGTCCTTAATAATTTTTTTTGAATAACATAGAATGGCACATTTTCATGCTACCTAAATTCTCAGCTTCCTCAAAGCTATGGCTCATGCTTGGTGAGAGAAAAATTATATTGCCCACTTGGTACCTGTAAACTTTTCCGACTCATAGTCTCGAAATTTTCTTATAAACAATACTTTCAAATTAATCTGTTGCTCTGTTTGAGTCATGTTTCCAAGAAAGGTTTTCCCACTTAAGACTTTTAATATTCTCTAATCATCAAAACTATTTTGGAATATCCTTTCGTTCCTTCCAAAGATTAATAAGATATTTATC